TTCAATCTAATGGAAATACAAAGCTCCAAGAAAGAAAATATATGTAGAATACATCAATCATGGTTTTGCTTCCACACAGGGAGATTTACAGTAGTCTAGGGGACACTGTATTCACAGACAAGCACTAGGGAAAGCACATGTTAAAATACTCACATAGGGTCGTACCTTCAAAGGAAGAGATGTACAACCATTTCCACCCCAAAGGCTGGGAACAGGAGTGGTTAATAGCCTAATGACTCTTTGTGTTATCTTGTGGCCTTGCCACACCAAATCCTCCCTCCCCCTGTCCCTGTCATGAGCTTGTTTATCTTGAACCTGTTTCCTCAGTTAATCCATAGAACCCATCTTTATGGAAGACGTCACTTAAGAGTTTCCATATAGTCATGTCTTAAGCTTTGCTGTGCACAAGGGACTGAGTTCGTTATCACCAGAACACTTCTTTCCAAATTGTACGCTTAAATATGCCTAAAATAAACTACTCAGGGTCAGACTCTCAAAGTTTAAAACAACACTGCCACTGAGTTGAACTGAACTGTCTTATCTCTCACCAATCTTCTCATGTTTGCAGAACCCCCAACACACACACACACACACACACACACACACACACACACACACTGCCCCAAAGTGATAGAGACAAAAATCCCAATGAAAGAGGAAAAGAGGCCACTCTTCTGTCATTGTGATCCAGGCTGTGTTGACAGGGATTACCATTCCTTTTCAGAGAGGATGCAGCTCAGTTGGTGAAATGTTTGCCTAGCATGTATGAGAACAAGAAAATAAACAAACAAGCAGGCAAATACCTTTGAACTGCTTAATCATGTTCTGGTGGTTTTCAATGGCTTCCTTCAAGATCAGTTCTGGCTGGTCCACCTTCCACCGCCATTCAGTGCCCACAGGATTGGTGTGGTGCCTGCAAACACAGTGCAGAGTGCTAAGGTATCCTGCTATGACATTACAGCAAGGCTGCTGTGACCAGCCCATCCAACAGAAAGCCAGAGTTGGTGTGCCTATAAGAGCTCCACTGTTCAAAGGACTCTCCTTTCTTTGAGTCAGGGCACATGGCAGAGATGAGTGAAGAGAGGATACTCAGCAACTAGCTCAGCGCTTGGCTCAGAATCAACTTCAGGGATAGACAGACCAAACACACTAACCTGATTCTGATTACTTATTCATAGGTATGTCTGTGGATATATGTGCACCTATGCTGAGGTGCCCAAGGAGCCCAGAGGAGAGCATCAGATCACCTGGAGCTAGAGCTACAGGTAACTGTGAATGGCCCAACATGGGTGCAGAAAACCAAACTCTGGTCCTCTGAAAAAGTGCTTCTAACTGCTGATCCAGCTAAAACTCCTCTTTCCTGCTTTTGGTCATGCTAACTGAACACAGACACCAGCATGAAGTGACCGTACTGGTGTGGCCAGCACATTCCCGGCATGGATCGACCATTCCTAAACCACGTGAGGAGAGCAGAAGTACTCATGGTTTAGAAACAACGATCTACACCAAACACTCTTGAGTTTCTCAAGAAGAGTGGGGGTGGCTTCTCTTTCCATACTCTAGTCTTTTGAGACAGACTTCCATGAGCCCAAGCTGGCCTCAAATTCCCTATGGAATTGAGGATAGCCTTGAGCTTCTGATCCTCCAGTGCTGGAATTATGGTGCGGATCACCATCTGTGGTTTATGTAATGCTGGGAATGGAACCCAGGGCTTCATGTATGAGAGGCAAACACCTACAAAGCCACATCCAAAGCACTTATTTTTTGGCAATTTCTTTTTCCTTCACTGTTCCATAGGCAAACATATGGGACTCATTTTTTTCAGTTATGATTTTTTTTTCTGTGTGTATCTGTGTGTGGTTATGTAAATGTGCAGATGACCCTAGGAGGCAAGAATCTAGCTTCATATCTCCCTCCCTAGAGCTGGAGTTCCAGGAACTGCGAACTGTCGGATGTGATAGTTGGGAGCTAAACTAGGTCCTCTCTAAGAGCAGAAAGTGCTCTTAAGCACTGGGCCATTCTCCAGCCCCCTGGTCATAATTTTTAAATGCTAATTCAGTTAACACATTTATGATAGGACAACGTAGGCTGACATGCTTCTTAAGGATCTACTGGAAAGCCAGGCAGTGGTGGCACATGTCTTTAATGCCAGCACTCAAGAGGCAGAGACAGGTGGATCTCTGTGAGTTCAAGCCCAGCCTGGTCTAAAGTGAGTTCCAGGACAGGCTTCAGAAGCCACAGAGAGAAACCCTGTCTCGAGCAAAAAAAAAAAAAAAAAAAAAAAAAAAAAAATGGGGAAATGATTAAGACAAAAGAACCAA